GTATGTATGTATGTATGTATCGATATCTTTATATACGGATGGTTTTCGTCCCTTAGCTTTGCGGTTCATGGCTTTCCCGTGTTTCGGTGTTGCTATGTTGTGGGTTGGGTTAGTGACGTTTTGTGTCAGCCTCGGCATCAACTTGTGGAGAGGGCAGTGCGACAATTGCACCATTCCGCCTTTCTGTATGTTGAAAACACAGACCGGGATCTTAATTTCAAGGTTTGCGCTATGTAGAAGCCTACTTGCCGATACCGTGGGGTATTGTTCCTTAAGATTTAAGCCCTTTATAAACTTCACAAGTATTGTATAGTAGTTAGTTAGGGCAGGATGCTTATAAGCCTTTGAGACTCTCTAAACCCTAAAAATGGAGCTCCAAGGAACCCTAAACGGCGTAAACCCCCAAAAGCTTAAGCTTTGGAGGAGCACCCGGAGTTTGTCAAGTACCAGCAGGCCGGGTGGGTCAGGTGGAGTCGCACTCCCAATTACACTCCATGGTTTCGGATTGAGAACTTGCCGACCCCCTGAAAAGCATACCTTGTTTTGGGCTCCTTCTGGCTTCTTTGTAAGTACCCTTTTTAGCTGCGCCCCTGCAGCACAGTGCATTGTCTTTCTACGACTGCTACTGCAGCTGGATCCCGGACGGCCATGCACACTATGCTAGTTTGGGGCCCTTGTTCCGTAACTTCATGGTAGTCCCGTAGTGTAGAGAAGGGGCCTGAACATGTTGTTCTAGTATCCCCTTGCCTTATCGTCCTTGCAGGTATGTTGTATAGCATACCCCGCCCCACGACAAAATCTGATCATGCATTCTGGCTTCTTCATCATAGAGCAGCTATACTAACCCTCGAGGCGGGCCCCTTCAGAGAAATCCGATTCCTGCATGATATCTATGGAGTCCCGGGAAAGATTTGGGCCCTCTAAACCCTAAACACTAAACCTTAAACCTCGAAGCCGAGGTGCACAACGGCTGGCAGCCATGTCCCGGTCCCGTTGACGTCACAGAAGCACCGACCTCCGCGGCCGATTCAGAGGCGGGGTTTTAGGGACGGTTTTGGGTTTAGGGTTTAGGGTTTTGGGCTGAAGAAGAATTCGATGAGATCGGCCTTGCTTTACAGCCATCGGGCTGTCTTCACTGTGTCCTGGCTCATTGTTTGGAGTTTTCGAGTTTGTCGGGTTCAACTGCATCCAACAAGTCATCCCGCCGCCGGCGAGTTTAGGAGGCTTTTCTTTCAAGCGGAGGATTGCAGCCTCTTGTTTTTGCAACTCAAATCTTGGATTGGACCAGGGGGTTGGGGTTGGCTCGAACCTACATAGGCAGGCCACCGCCATGGAGCCTACGTCTAAAAAACGCTTCATTCCAGCTCCTGATATCTTTCATGGCTCCCGTTTCGAAACAATTTGAAGACGCCTTCAAGGGTAACCGGGAATTAGTTAGCATCCCCCGCCTCCCATGGGTTGCCTTTGTCCAGCGGTCCCTCCTTGTTCCGAAGCCACCAAACAAGCCTAAACCCTAAACCAGAGGCCCAGTGCATAACGCCGCATTTGACGGCCCAATCAAACCCTGCACTTGGCAGGCCGTAACCTTTCAGGGCCCAACAGCCTTACCTATAGTCTCCATTGTAGTTCCTTTTTGGGGTTACCTTATAGGATCCTCAATATAATATTGGTTAAACCCAAAAAAGGAACTACATTGGAGACTATAGGTAGAACACCCTTAATTCCGAAACCGTCTTAACACCAGCACCCGCAGGAGAGGCAATGTCAGATCTTTACACTCTGGGAATACAAGTCTGGTCCGCCTCTCTCTGTGGCCCTGAATGTGGAAGGCCGGTCAGGGTTTCGGCTGTTGATATGGGGGTTTCCGAAAATAGGGGACCCTAATATAGTACCCTAAATAGTAGGATCCTTAGTATAAAGACCCCAAAATAAGGTACCCCCAATTTTTCGGAAACTCCCATATGAGATAAGTTGAAGGCCCGGCCCAAGTGTAGATACCTGAAATCGTGGCTTATCGTCAGAAGCACCGTTGGAGATCACCAGCCATGTCGCACGCCACCTGTATTGGAGAGTTGCAGGAGCCTCAGTAGCTGGAGGTGACCTCGAAATAAACAGCATATGCTCTGCTAGAGTTGTCATGATGGGACAGTTCCAACCGGCTTGGTTGCGGAGTTGGAACGGCTCAAGGTGTTCAGAACATGCCAGCGTCCGTAGTTCTTCACCGCTCAAGAGTTCTACGGGTCTGGGTTATGTGTCTTCTGTATATCCAGTGAGCAAACAACCCTTGATCAAGGACTATACCGTAAATTACAGCGGGTCCAGACTATATAACACTTTGTGACATCATCGTGTATCTTCCGGAATTAGGTATGGGGTTCTCGGGGTACTATGGGGTATAGGCTCTGTGCTTCAAAAGGAGCCATGGCTTTGATTCCAGTAGCCTCGCCTTTGGCCCTTGGCTCTGCGGCCGGTGTGTTGCAGCCACGGAGGGAAGTGCGAAGCTCGGCAGGCGCATTGAAATCGGCTTAGAGTTTAGGGTTTAGGGCGAAGCCTGACCTGAGCCTTGAAAAAGCCTAAATGTTTGGGATTCCTTCATCCTGATTTCCTGACAGAAGTCCAGTTTCGACATGTGTTGCTTGACGTCTGCTGCGGGTGCCCTACATGCTCAGCCCCGACAATTAGCCTTCCAAGCTTCGCCGTTTGGAGGTTATAATCCAAAACTCCTGAATACTGTGCATTGCCGACGGCCAGCGACAGTTCGACGCTGCAGCCGAAGCACGAGAGATGCAGACATCAGAGGCAGTTTGAGGCTTATAGGTGCAGATATGGATTTCTGTTTGCGCAGAACATGTGGCCCATAGACTGTTTCTGGAAAGAGGCTTCGGTGAGAGGTGCGAGCAATGCATGTAAACAAATGCACTGATGGAACCCTTAGCTTTGGCTCAAGTTTGTTTGGATTTCCCACTTCACTCCACCGAAAACCCAAGCTGACCATGGCTTTCTTCGATCGCGTTGGAGCGGACGTGACCTTCGTGTACAGCCGCACGTTCATCGACGAGGTGCCCGTCTTGGTGAACCCTGGCTCTCATCGTCGAAGCGTGAGCCTGCCACCCCCTAGGACGCATCTTGACACCCTAAACCCTAAACCCTATTATAAACCCTAAACCCTAAACCCTAAACCCTAAACCTTAAACCGTTATAGGACGCATCTTGACACCGCCTCCGATGCAATGATCGAAGAGGAAAATCTACGGGGCTACGTGCAGTCGCTGGGTACCTCTGGCATGCACCCCCCGGCTGATGTTTCAACAGCAACAGCTCTTCCTGACGGAGAAGCTTGGGGGTATTTAGAAATAATTGTTGATCTTTGGTTATTATAAACCCTAAGAAGCAGCTAAAATTATAATTTTTGGTAGGGGTCTCAGTTCAGTATAGGAAGAGTCTGTGATTGAGAAAGCTGGAGATCATCCTGAAGTGTCCGTCGCGGAAGCAAGTTGCGGGAGCAAGGGGCACCCAGAGCTTTGCAGGCGCGCGTGCATCTACTTTGTGTCTGGCAAGTGCACCGCGGGAGCACAGTGCAACTACTGCCACATGCCGCATGCCGACCGCCCTCCCAAGCTCGACAAGCAGCAGCGCGCGAAGTTCAACTTGATGGGCAAGCGCGAAGCCCTTGTGTTGCTTCAGAGGTTCTTGACGATGAACGCGACAACGAATGGCTTCCTAAATCTCGCGAAGGACATCCTGGACTTGCTGGCGAAGGAGACAATGAGGCATGATGCCGGCGAGGATGCGACCTCTGGATCCGCACAGCGACGTCTTGAGCGGGTGCTCGTCCGCATGCCCTTCCACCAGCTTGCCCTGCTCTCTGTCTCCAAGGCAAATCGTCACGAGTTCGGTGAGCTTATGGTGAATTACATCGAGAAGCTCACCGATGATGTTGAAGCAGCGCGGAACAACGGAGTGAACGCTTGAGCCAAAGGAGACCCGGTTTAGCAGATACTGGTCGTTGCACAGCACGACGTGTCTTATGCCGCTGCAAAGTGAGCTTTCTCTTCCTTCCCAGCACTTCTCGGCCGCACCTGCGGACGCACCGTTGGAGACGGTGGCTGAAGGAGGTTGCCAGTCGAGAGCTGTGTCTGCCTTCCTTGGAAGCAGTTATTGCGTCGCTGAACTTGTGATCCTGAATGCTACGGCCCTCCACCTTAAATGTCCTATGCCCCACATTGGAACAGTGCGCTAACTGCATTCTCCTGCGACGTGGTTGGGATGTACTGGCCAGATGCTCCTTTGCAGTGACGGCAAAAGCTGCGACAAGTCTTCTGTACAGTGCAGCTGGGAGACGCCCTCAGCAAAGAGCAATAGTTGATGGAATCAAGCAAGTTTCAGGCTTTAGGGCTCAAACAGCGTCTACAATTCACCAGCCCTTTTATGGAGTAAGTAATTAGGGCTGGGCTGTTCATCTCGGCTGCACCAAATCCAGATCCCTCTATCGGCATCTCCGAGCACCAGCGGTGGCAGGGTTTCTGAGATGCAGGATTCTGTAGTTAAGGATTGAGGGTTGAGCGTTTAGGGTCTTGTGTTTACGGTGTGAGTTGGTCACCGACTTCTCTATACGGTGCTCCCAGGGCCAGTCTTTTTCGACTCAGCTGGCTGCCAGTCGAGCAGCCACCCTATACCTATCGGGGCAGTACGGCCCCGATATTTTATGCGGCGTCAAGTCCCGTGCACAGGGGAGCCTGCCAGGATGGTCACAGCCTTCCGGTCAGGTTAATTATAAGGCCGCCCAGGCATCTAGACCCAGATTTATGCGAGCACCGACGTAGCCGCTATTCAAAAAGAAACCTTGCAGCCGGACGTAAGCAGCGCTGTGACTATCTATTGGGTGGCGAACCGGAGGTACCGAAGCCATGTTTTCTGCTTTTGTGGACTGTGTCGCTTTTAATGAGACGTGTGTTCTTGAGACACCTTAACCGCCGTCTCACACAGATGGTGTCCAGCTGCCCTTAGCGTGTATAACACCATTGTGTGAACCCCTGCGTGAAGCCCTAGACGTCCGTGATCGGTTCAGCTCAGGGGAGTACTGGACTCCATATTCTTGTCCTGCACGACAGGAGTAATGTCACCGAGGACTCCATCCACTCCATACTACCCGCAGAGCAGTGTAATAGGACCTAATTGCCACTAATTGCAGCTTGGGATCATCTAGTTTCTCTTGGCAGCTCCGGTGGACCTTCTCTGAGTGTCTAGTGTCTAACATGGGCATTTGGATTTGGAAATCAGGAATTGCTATCGTGGTTCATGTGCGCAGAGCACCCTGGAATCGAAATTACGTGCCATGTGACGAATTTCTGAATCCCTCTCCAGGTTTAGGCGAGAACTTCATGTTTGAGTTCTGAGTTTCGTAGTGTGAGGTCTATGCTGAGAACAACTGCACGACTCGGTGGTTGAATCCCCGGGTTGGTGCGTGCTCGGCTTGATAGCTCTTGGGAGCATGACTCTGCAGTTCTTCTTACGGGGCAGTGTCAGGTCAGCCTAGATTTGCTCTTCCACTTTCTGGATGACTTGCTTGCTTGCTTGCTTGAGGGATTAACATCGAACTGCCAGTGAACTGCCGACTGCCCAAGGCCAGGCTAGGCAGATCTGAAACAAAGGTCGCTTGGCCTCCACAGGTACTTCTCCACCCTCTCCGAAGTACCGGACCCAAAAAGGGGGTCTCTCTCCCTCTGATGCCTTTTTGTTTTAGCTGATTTTTGAGTTCTTGAAGAGCCGAGGGCAATCCTTCCTGAAGAACAGCGTCGTGAGCAGAGCTCCGACCAGTGGTCTATGTGGGTTTAGGGTTGTTAGTTTAGGGTTTAGGGTGTTTTGACAATATACAGCTGAAACCCGCGTTCGGTCTGAGGATGCCTAGTGACCTAGTGTTATCGCCAGGAGGGTGTGTGTGTGTGTGTATCCGGTTTTTGGAGGTTTAGGTTCATGTATTTGGTGAGTTGCAACAGCGGATGGAAAAGGAACTGCCCCTGTCTCTTGGAAGCAAAGATGGTCGCCGCAAAGGTGTATAAAAAGCTTGCAGCAGACTTCTTGCCGATGCCTTAAAAGGTAAGTGTAAGTGTCGATGCGCGAGCGTGTGTGCGTGCGCGTGCGTCTTTGCATTAGTACCGGGTAAAGGGCTCAGGGCAAAACAACCGCAAACCAGTTACAAACCCCTAGGCCGTAATCTCCCGATCCGCTTCTCTCCGGATTTGGGTAGTTCATGGGTGCATATGGTAGTCAGGGGATTCTGGGTGGAGGGTTTTAGGGTTTCGTATTTTGGGTTTAGTGTTAGGGTCAATTTGCCACGGGAAGGTGCCAAGGCAGCTTGGCGTCCATGTGCTGCTGGCTACTTCGCGTTTGCCTTCGGCTGCGCCCAGTCTCGACGCATGCAGCGCATTCAAGCCACAGGCGCGGCTCTTTGGAAGCACGTTGGCATCCAAACCACTCGTATAGGCGTCTCGCCAGTTAGTAGCACAACTCTTCATGTAATTTTGTATGTATGTACATATGTACTTATGTATGCGCGTACACGTGTGTATGTGTGTATATATATATATGCATACCTAGGTTGTTTTTGGACATTTCTTATTTTCCTGATTTGGCTTTATAGGGGACCCTTCATATTTTTAATGGTTTTCAGAGGGTTTAGAGGCCAACCCAGATACAGGTATAACATATACATCTCATATATCATATATATATATATATGAGTATATACAGACATGCAGGCATGTAGGCATATATGCATACACAGACACACACACACACAAACACGTATGTATATATATAGATATAAATA